AGCTTGATTGTGAATGTGGTCTCTCAAATATAGGGCAAACAACACGATCAATAAAAACCCGCGTAAAAGAACACATAGCTGACGTAAAGCACCAACGTTCCGGGAAGTCTGCAGTTTGTGATCAAATCCTAGACGGCCCCCGCCATTACATTAGATTTGATAAACCACAAATTCTTGCGAAAGAACATCGGTTCCCGCCAAGGATGATACGTGAGGCTATTGAAATTAAAAAACATCCTAATTTCAATAGAGACGGAGGCTGGATACTACCACCTGCTTGGGATCCTGTAATTAAAACTAAACCCAAGCATACCACTGCAAGACTTCAAGATACAGTAAGTTCATTATGCGTAGATCAGACCAAAACTAATAATTAAAAAAGCTGAAGGTACTCGGGATTAACGCTGACATCGGGACGTCAATCACCTCAGTCCTCCGTGACCATGGGTGCTGGAAAGCACCCGAAACGTCGGGAATTAATAAAAGTAAGCAAAAAATGTTAATTAAACGCGATAAAATCCGTAAAAGTAGTTTTATTCAAAGCTATTATTTAGTTAGAAAAAAGATGGGAAACCTCGTTTTATAAGCAAATAACCGAATTCCTAAAGCAACGTTTTGTTTCGTTGGTCAAAAGTGAAAAATAGTAACATTAATTTTCTTAATTGGAGCTAAATGTTGCGGTCCAGGGGACAAATAGCGAGTCATTATCACGTGGCTGAAAGCCGAGTGGTAGCAATGCTCCCCTAGATTAATAAGTACTTTGCTACATTTGACAAAAATATTTTTTATATATAGAAGGGGCAGCAAGCGAATATGCAAAAGGAAAAAAATAAAAAAATATACAATATGGTCGTGAGGAAAGTAAAATTTCAAAAAACACGCAGTGGTGGGCACACGGCAAACTATTTATATAATCCATTCATAACTTTTACGGATCTCGGTGTTAGTCCATAAGAAATAAATATATTAAATTTGACAGAAAATTATTTTGCGTACATCCGCTAGATAAAATAAAATGATGTGTCTTACCTAGTTTGAAGAGCAATACTGTATTGTAGTAGTGGTGTGTCTTTCCTAGTGTAGTGGTGTTGGAAGTAGTGGTGCTGGGGTTAGTGGTGACGGGGTTAGTGCACGCAATTGAGGGAGGGCGGGAGGTGCTCTTCAAACTAGGTAAGACACATCATTTTATTTTAATAAACGTCGCCGAGTACCGGAACAAACTTGTGTCTGAAGTCGAGTCTTTGCTGGACAAAGTCTCGGATTGGGGGCGACTAAATCTAGTCCAATTTAATCCTCAGAAGACACAAGTTTGCGCGTTTACCGCTAAAAAGAACCCCTTTGTCGTATCTCCTCAGTTTCAAGGCACTCCCCTTCTTGCTTCAGCCAGTATCGGTATCCTCGGAGTCGACATATCGAGTGACGTGCAGTTTCGTGGTCACTTGGAAGGGAAGGCCAAATTGGCCTCTAAAAAGCTTGGCGTGCTCAGCAGAGCGGGACAGTATTTCATGCCGGCACACCGCCTGCAACTTTACAAGGCGCAGGTTCGGCCTCACATGGAATACTGTTCCCATCTCTGGGCAGGGGCTCCCCAGTGCCAGCTCCTTCCACTTGACCGCATCCAGCGCAGAGCGGCTCGAATCGTCGACGACCGAGCCCTTTCCGATCGGCTCGATTCATTGGCACTGCGAAGAGATGTTGCATCTCTTTGCATTTTCTTTCGCATCTACCATGGGGAGTGCTCTGAGGAATTGTTCGGATTAATCCCAGCCGCCAAATTTCACGAACGCACATCGCGGCAGAACTCCCGATACCATCCACACCATCTGGATGATTGGCGGTCCACCACTGTGCGATTTAGAAGATGTTTTCTTCCTCGCACAACTTCCTTGTGGAATAGTTTACCACCAGGGATTTTTCCGGACCGATACGACTTAGGGACCTTCAAGAAAAGAGCCTACTCCTTTTTAAAAGGCCGGCAACGCATCTGCAATTCCCCTGGTGTTGCGGTTGTTCATGGGCGGCGGTAGTCACTTACCATCAGGTGAGCCGCATGCTCGTTTGCCCCCTCTCCTATAAAAAAAAAAAAAAAAAAAAAAAAAAAAACATTTTATTTACATTTTATTTTAATAATGGACTTCCGCAAAGTAACGCCTGATTCTATTAATTACAATAAATATATTTTCTTTACGAAATTGAAGCGACTAAAGAACTTACTGACTGACTGATGTTAGCGCAGCCCATGGACACTTCATGCAGCCATGTATTCAACTTCAAATAAAGATGGCTTCGCTTTGCTTGCGTTGTCACTTTTGAGGAACAAAATGGAATGATTCACACCCTGTAATTATAATGGCTCTCTACATCCTTCAGTGCTGCTTCGAGGCAGAAATGGGTAATAGGTTTCTACTCAACTGACTCCTACGCAAAATAGAATTCTTACCATTTACAATCAAGGACGTGTATGCAAACAACCTCCAAGTTGCAAAAATAAATTCAAGTGTATTTTTTTTTGCAATTTCAATTAAAAAGTGAAAAAAAAGAGCGCGATTTACATATAAAGTGTAATAATTTCCTTCAGGCAGAATTTAGGTTACGGCGACTAGTCTAAACGGAGACTAGCCATCTGTGTAGGATATGATTATAGTGTTCGAGTGTTTGCGCAAGCATAGGTGCACTCTCTATTATCCCCTAACATTCACATTCCGAAGGGACGGTAATCAGTGCAAGTACTACTATTTGGTAGCAGAAAAAGGTAAGAGGGAGACCTATCTAGACGGATGCCTAAACAGAAAATTCCCACCACCAAGTTTTTTTAATATATGATTACCGTTTATTCGAAAACGGCTAAATCGATTTTAATGATTCTTCATTTTACTTTAGGAGTCATCCAATATAAAAAAAATCACATCTAAGGGTGGAAAAATAGGTTATAAAGTTTTAATGTAACTAACTATTTAAACGATGTTTTAGTGGTTACCGTGAACTTGTTGTATTCCTTAGTCCACTCAAAAGTTTGAACAACTCAAAAGCGCCGTATAGATTGACATGTTAAAGAAATGTTGTTTAATTTTTTTAATTAAAATAAATCACAATAACATTAAGCACTGTCATACATTTTTTTTTATTTTTTTTTTTTACAAGCTTTTATAAAACTTGCAATGAAACTATGTTTGTTCGGGTGGAATCTTGCAACTCAATATTGAAGCAGATATCTTCAATCGATTGAGCTCAAAATTTGTATACACATTAAGTTTGGATGATAATGCATGGTTAACTATGTGACGTTATTCTAAATCCAACATAGCGGAACACCCTAGATGGCGGACAGACATTTTTCATGAACTCCTACAATATGGATATCAAATGAAAGGGCTTGCTTAGTGTAACTCGAAAAATAAAGTGACGTTACTCTAAATCCAATATGGCGGACTTTTAAAGATGGCGGACTAAGTTTTTTATACTTTCCTACAATATGGGTTTCAAATGAAAGGGCTTGCTTAGTATAACTCTAAAAATAAAGTGACGTCACTGTAAATCCAATATGGTGGACTTGTAAAGAAGGTGGACTAAGTTTTTTATGCTTTCCTACAATATGGGTATCAAATGAAAGGACTTGCTGAGAATACGAATGCGAGTTTACTAAAAATAAGATGGTGATCATAAACTCGGTTGCTCCAATCCCTCTGAAACTTTGGTGTACTGGGGTTTTTGCAGTCCTCGATAATGATATTGAGGTCGAATTGTTCGAGTCTGTAGCATCAGTTGATTAACTTTGACTTGTGTAATTTGGCGAGATAGGCGTCAACAGCATTGGTTTGCAACCTGTCTAGGAGAAGGGTAACTCCAATATCAAACCTGGAACTATGTTTCGTAAGCCACAAGTAAGCTTCAAGCTGAAATAAGTAGCGCATTCCTCCAAACATCCGAGTCAAGGTGAGGCCGTGCCGAGGACTGAGTGGCATCAAGGTGTAACAGTTTTTGGAGTCCTCTAATATGATATTGAGGTCGAACTGCTCGAGTCTGTAGCATTGGGTGGTAAACTTTGACTGTCCAAAGGTCTGGTTAATGGTGCCAATGGACATATTACAGAAATCATGTGGCCCTGCTTCCAGAGAGCACAAATTATGATACTGACATACCATCCGTCCGTATAGATTTCGGTAAAGACGGTGTTCATCTCATTTAATGCCGTTGTATACTTAGGTTCGAAGCTCTTCGCTGCTGGTCAAGCATACGTGACCTTAAGTAGGATAAAATCATTAGAACGTCTGCTTATTGAAGAAATATACTGTTCGAAATTCACCGACAAACGACCTTGCAACAATGATGCGTTGAATGAGATGATCAGACTGAGAAACCTGTCCAGCGATAACTAAGAAATAAAAAATAAATTAAAAGTATGTCGCGAGATTAACCTGCGTAGGTAAACAGGATCTGATTGATTTTAATTTTTAAAATTTTCAAACTAAGTAAATACGAATAAGTAGAAATGAGTAGAAACTTAAATATCGCGACAAACTTTTATATCATATATGATATAAAAGTGTAATGACGTTATAAGTTGATAGTAAAAATTTTAAAGCACAAGTTTATTTTATTCTTTTTAGCGCATTTAAATAAAAGCTTATTTGAAAAAAAATTTTTTTTTACTTTTAATTTATTACATGTTGTATATTTGTGTCATTTGGTATTTAGACAAGAAAGATTATTTTTTCGCCAAAAGGCATTGTTTAATTCAGCGAGACGACTCAGGCACTAAATTGTGGGTAGTAGAACTTTATGTAGTTTTAATTTTGATATCGTAACAAATTGTAATATTTATTTTATATTTTTTTTATAATTTTTATAATTTTATTTTAAATTTTATAATTTTATCAAATGTAAATAATTTACATCTAAAACATAACTTTAATAATTGAAACAATAATAAAATATAGACTTCTGTATAATATCACATTTTATCAAATTTTATATTTTTATTTACAGTCTCCTATTCTTTGTTAGGCATATACACACTGATACAGATTCTCTCTCAAAGCGGCCACGGATTCATCAGTGGTCTTTCGAGCTCTTGTACAGCAAACAAAAAGTTTCTCACAAGATTGTTCGTTGTGACGACGAGCGTTTGTTAAACTTAGATCCAACTCGTACCCAAGGGAGACCGCCGCTTTAGACAGATCTTTGAGGCAAGCGCTTTCATTTGTTCTGTAAAGTTGAGGTAACCATAAGTGAATTTTTATTTGAAAGTATTTTACAGATATTCCACCCAAGTATTTTATCAAGTGAAAAGTATTTTACTGATATTCAACGCAAGTATTTTGTAAATTTGTAGTCCTTCCTCAGTCGAATCAACCCATTTGTGTTGCAAAGGAAACACAACTGCAGCATGACTCTACCACTGCTTTTAGCTGCATTTTTACTTCGACTATCCAAATATTCTCCAAATGCTAAAGCTACACAATTTTAATATGAAACTGAAGTTACAACTCATAGACACCTATGACAAACTTCAAACAAAAAAGGCTAAAGATGCGTTGTCACATCTCGGGATTAATATATAATGCTTTACATTCTCTAATTATACTCTCTCTTGCCATTAGATAAAGAACACATCAGTGCAGACACTGCTGTTTGGTGGCAGCAATAGGCAAGAGGAAATCCTTCTATCCTTAGCATCTAAAATAAATATGCTGCTTTTTATGAATAAAATACTAGAGTTCTAATGGAAATAAATCTCTAGCGCCATAACAAAAAGTTTCCAATATTTTCAAATTGTTTACTTTTCTATTTCAATTCCATATTGTTCTTTTAAAGCGATTCTTCTTGTAGCGTTTTCCATCGCCATTTGCATATGATTACGTGTAATGCCTATCATTTCTTCAGCATATTTTCCCATTTTAGAAATTGAATTCCTCGCTTCCTCGGTACATTTGTAGACGTGGGCAATGTGCCTGCTAGCGATGGTACGCGCATAGCGCCGTTCTTCATCACACATTTCTGGATACATTATAAAAATAAAATTAAACATAACGATAATATTATCCAATTACGGCCTAATAATAATTGCTCATTATTGCTTACTTTATTTTAATTCTCTCTACATCTTATTTTTACGCGAAGACTATACATGAAATGAAACTAAATTTTACGGATTTTATTGCGTTTAATTTCAAGCACCGACGTTTCGGGAAGTCTGCAGTGTGTGAAAATGTTCTAGATCGTGACCACCATTACATTAGATTTGATAGACCACAAATACTCGCAATAGAACACCGATTCCTACCAAGAAGGTTTCGCGAGGCTATTGAAATTAGAAAATATTCTAATTTCAATAGATAAGATGGATGGGTGCTGCCAACAGCTTGGTATCCTATAATTAATAAAATTAAATCCAAACCCAAGCATACCACTGCAAGACTTCAAGATACTCTAAACTTAAGCTTCTGCGTAAATCGGACCAAAATTAATATACTTAAAAACTGAAGGTAGCCGGGCTAACTATAACATCGGGACGTCAAACAACTTAGTCCCCCCGCGAAACGTTGGGAATTAAAAAATTAAATTAAACACGATAAAATCCGAAAAAATTAGTTTCATTTAATTTCTCTATGTCTGTCACTTTCTATTGCTGTGTGGCAAAAAGAGAGAAGAGAACTTTAATCAATGCTTAAATTGACGTCGATTTTATAAGGCATAAAAATACACATACAATTGATACAGAAATACATATGCACAGACAATTGGATACAAAATTAGATCGAAATTCCAACTTTTGTGGTTTTACTTATTTTTGTTTACGTTGGATAAAATAATTCAACTACATCAAAGACAAGGAAAATAGCACTGAATGGCAAAGTATGGAAATTATTCGTATTGAATAAAAGTAATTTTAGTTAAAAATATCTAAGCCCTGCTGCGACCATAATAATACTAAATATACCCATTTACCTCAGCTTTGGGTTATATAATGTACGTAAGATAATAAAGATGGTCTATAAACTTAGATCCAATAAGTTTTACATATTACAAAACACATTAATATCGAAACTAATAATTATGACTGATGCTTTAACTTTGCTAAGTTACCTTAAAAATGTTATTTAAAATATATTGCAAAACATAGTTATTAGTCTTTACGACTATTCACAATTTACTTTGTACCTGGAACGGCTAAATGATCTGCTAATTGAATCAAATCTTTATAAACCTTTTGCTTTTTGCGTAATGCGGCATTGACTTCATCTTTTGTTTTCCGAAGAATCTTGTTAGTTAACTGCTGGTATGAAGTTTGGATGTTTCTGTGATATGTGTCCAAAAAGGGACCGATAACTGTGTCCACATACTGGCTTATTTTGCTGTAAATATGTTAGTTTAAAAATAAATTTGTCAAAAACGTATTAGCGTTTATTATTTCAGAATATAAAAGTCCACTGCTGTGTAGTTGATGTTCTTAGGCTGCAACTATAAGGTTAAGTTATACGAAAAATGAATCCACTTATATTTCCCATATTCTTCACTAGCGTCCCGCCTTGGCTTCGGCCGCGTGAATTCTAATAAGTTTGCGTCACTTATGTTTAATATTCATTTAAATTATATGGTTTGAAAGACAATTTTAATATACATTTATTGCTTAACCTAACGAATACGATCCATAAAGGGATGATCGTGTCAGCCAAAACAACTTGACATAAATCTTACAATGGTGGTACCGTGGTAGGCATTTTAACAATTATACCTACTATAGCGGACTTTTACGTGTAATTTTTTGGGATCTACAATTCCGTAGTAAATTATTTTGTGTACGTCTTATGGCTTTGTCAGAGTAAATCGTGTAAGTATGCTACAAGGGTCATTCTACGATTTGATTTCAAAATTGCTGAACATAGGCCTCCCCCAAGAAATACCATAAAGCACGGTCCTCAACCACCAGCATCCATCGACTTCCTGCATGTCTTAACAGGTCGTTACTTCATCTAGGTTCATTTTCATTAACTCAGGTTATAATTTATTTGCTGGATAACTTATATCAAAAGACTGAAAAATAAACCCTTAGAAAAGAGAGATATTAATTTGAGAATAGGTATTAACCTGTTAGCGGTGCCCAAATTAAGTCTTAGCATTTCTATGGGAATTGATGAATTTCCCCAAGTCGCTTTTACTTTTTCAATGTGACGATCCATTTCAACAGGTGTATGCTGCCACGGTGGAATTTCGAAACATAATCCACCATCTTCTCGTAAAAAGAAATTTCGCTCCTTAAATAAACGTCACAAAATATAGAGCACATCACACACATGGCACACGCACAAGCACAGAATGAAGCAATTTTTACAGTACAGTTAACTATACACAAACCCTGCAAATAAGTGATAAGTGTGATTCCCAAAAACATAAACTAAAAATAACGACTATTGTAATTACGATCTGATTTAAATTAAACATGTCAAAAGACGCTATATGAAGTCAAGGAATTCAAATATTTTATTTTAATTTAGTGAATGAATTCAACGAAACAATTACAAGCTTAAACCAACCGAGAAAGTAAAACTGCTGTTGTAGTAGTTACGTTTAATTGAATTTGTAAATTTAATATTGCAGAAAGTATTTTGATATGGTAAGTATTACGCTTGGTAGGGAAGTTGTAGTAAGTATTTGCTATAATGGCCACGCTTGGTAGGCAGATTGGCGACGTAACTATTGACAGTACTCCCATTTGCCAGTCTGGGCATTGTGCACCTGGTATAATATACGATATACCAGATGGTATATCTACTGGATGTTATGAGATATATCTGGCCTTTCCCATACTTAAGTGTGGTTAATATTGCACATACACATACGCCTACACATGCGCACTTGCACGCTCTATCACGTCTACATATACATGCACATGCTGTTAAGGCTCGTCTAAACGGACCATGTTTCTCGGCAATGTGTGGCTGCAATACTGTAGATATTATAATATATACTATAATCTTAATCAACCTAAAAATCTACTGCTCGATATTAATCAAAGATTAATGTTTCTAAGAGAAAGAATATCGGTCAGGGAATTTGTCGACTCGACCTTAAGTAATTTATTCTTGGGGCAATGTACATGCTTTCATAAAATTATTTTAGAAACTATAAAAAGTTTGTCGCACGCCAAGATCAAAAAATAATATTAAACATAGATTTTATAAAAAACATTATAACATATGTGTACAATATTATGTTGATAATGATGATACATGATTGTAAAGTTACTTTTTTAATTAATAATAAAAAGAAGGAAAAAGTACTATGTATTATTAAATGTACGGACTAGATGACATACAATCTAGATGACTAAGGATGCGAATGAATAATATTGTTAATGTTTGCTAAAGTAAAAACGTAATATTATGCCTGATTATGTCAATTATGATTTCTTATATCGCAGAGGAAGATCTACAAAAACCCACGTGAAAGAACATATAGCTGACTAGAAGCACTGACGTTCCGGGAAGTTTGCAGTGTGTAACATGTTCAAGATCGTCCCCACCATTACATAAGAATTGATAGACCACTAATCCTCGCAGAAGAACACCGATTCCTACCAAGGATGATTCGCGAGGCTATTGAAATTAAAAAACATCCTAATTTCAATAGAGAAGATGAATGGGTGCTGCCATCTGCTTGGGATCCTATAATTAATAAAATTAAATCCAAACCCAAGCATATCACTGCAAGACTTCAAGATACTATAAGCTCATTCTGCGTAGATTGGACCAAAAATTAATATTCAAAAACTGAAGGTAGCCGGGCTAAGTATGATATCGGGACATCAAACACCTCAGTCCCCCCCGTGACTATGAGTGCTGTAAAGCACCCGAAACGTCGGGAATTAAAAAGTTAAATTAAACGCCATGAAATCCGTAAAAATTAGTTTCATTTAATATTTAAATAATTTAAATAAAACTAATTTTACGGATTTTATCGCGTATATTAATTTATTTTATATTCCCGACGTTTCAAGAATTTATAGCACCTATGGCCATGGGGGGGACTGAGGTGTATGACGTCCCAATGTCATAGTTAACCACGGCTACCTCCAGATTAAAAATTATTAATTTTTTTTGTTCCGATCTACGCAGTATGAACTTACAGTATCTTGAAGTCTTACAGTTGTATGCTTGGGTTGGGATTTAATTTTATTAATTATGGGATCCCAAGCAGAGGGTAGCACCCAGCCATCTTCTCTATTGAAATTAGGATCTTTTTTGATTTCAATAGCCTCGCGAATCATCCTTGGAAGGACTCGGTGTTCTTTAGTGAGGATTTGTGGTCTATCAAATCTAATGTAGTGACGGGGGCGATCCTGTACGTGATCACAGACTGCAGACTTCCCGGAGCGTCGATTCTTCACATCAGCTATGTGTTCTTTAACTCGAGTTTTTATGGATCTTTTAGTATGTCCTATATATAAGAAACCACATTCAGAATCAAGCTTGTACACTCCTGCAGCTTGCAGAGGGACATAACACTTGACTGATGGTAAAAACTGACTAATCTTCTTCGGCGGCTTGAAGTATGTTTTAATGGAAGCACGCATCAAGAAATAGCCAATTTTGTCAGAGACACCTCTGACATATGGCAATACAGCAGGCACTCGCTCATTTAATATGTCAGTTATACTAAACTGTGACTACGCATTTTCACGTGCTAGAGGGTTTTAGCCTAACGCCCTCCTAACTAGATATTATGCCTTAGATTATAGTTTGAATTTAGATAATAATTAATAATGTTTAGAATAATTTTAAGAATTGTTATCAGAAATGTAACATTATTTATTATTATTTTGTCGATGGGAGCTGTACTGTAACCCCCAAAACAAAACATATTTATGTTACCAACGACACGTCAAAAGAAAGGTTCCGCACTTTCGTGGTAGAGCCATGCTACGGCTATATTGTGGTTGTAGTACGACCACACTTATTTTGTAAAAAGAGACATTTCAATTTCGTCCTCAGAGATGACCACACATTTGTAGCCTTTTTTGTTTAAAGTCAGCCCCAGGTATCCCTAGGCTGCAGTACCCACTTATCATTAGGTGGGTTCTAAATTCGTTTGTCATTTTAATTATTAAAAAAAATATCATTGTTTATAATGTGTGGAGCAGCAAGAAGAGAAGAGTGATGGTATTAAGATGCAACTGCAGCGGAGCCAGTGAACTTTATGACATCTAGGTGTATGTGTCCATAGGTCACATCATCTGCTATCTGCTTACTAGATATTAGGTGAACTGTGTGCTCTCTAGATTTTAAAATTCTGGATTGAAAATAGGCGTTGTTAACTTCAAATTCTATTCAAAAAAGAGGACTTTATATTAGTGCTCTTTTTCGGGCGAACGCTTCAGTGATTTTTTATATAGAAATGTTTTAAACCTAATTTAATTACATATGTAAATGTCGAAAACGATACTGAAACAAAACAATGTACATTATTTTTAAAGGACTTGATGCCCTTGAGCTCAAGAAATAAAGTTACGGCTAATAATTTCATTTGCCCAAATATTAAACATTGAATCAAAACTACACTTTAAATAAGTTATTGTGTTTTTCTGCCAAGACATTCTCTTGCCCAGAGTCAGAAAGTTGGCGATTTTTCACCCCCTGGCATCCGAAAGCACGTAAAGCCATTGGTCCTGCGCCTGATCTTCTTCCTGTTGTATTGGATTACCATCCCATTGGACAATGAGAGTGAGAAAATAGAGTGCACCTGTACTTGCGCATACAATCGAGCACGATGTAACAATGTAACGATGGTCTTCACAGTTTGTACTCTAGCAACCCTGGAGACAACATCTCCGCCGGAAAACTTTATTGATGCGCCTCAGACTCCTCTTGAGTGAAGGCTTGTTGTCACCTTTAATTAAGACAAGAGTGTTTTTTGCAAGTTCTCCTGTACCTTCCGGTATATGACTCTCTCTTGTAGCACAGAGACATATTTCTTGGACTACCTGGCCCTAAAATGTTGGCGAAATTGCTCCACACTCGGTAACATGTTAGCCCGGATGATAGTGCTGTGCTCAGGTCAGCGAAGACGGGTGCAGTCAGTGGACGGCCTTATAGATTATTGATCTAACTTTTCCTCAGGTAAAATACAGGTGACTCGTAATTAGTTTTTTTTTATGTCGTAAATTACAGTAAATTCTAAATAACAAAGGAGTTAAAAAATTAAAAAAACGCGTTGATCACGAGCTGTAGTGATCCTGATAATTATTTTATTTTATTCTGGTGATCCTGATGAGGATACTCGGATAAAATTATAAAATTATTTTGTTGTTATCTGTTCTTCATACGAAAATTTTCAAGTAAATCGGCCGTCTACATGTTGGTCAAAATCACAACAAAATATTCTTGACAACTATAGTCACATAGATAGATACATACACGCAAAGCTAATAAAAGAATGTTAAAAATACTCAGTGACACCACAAACTCTATTTTTAGTAGTTGTTTTTATCTACTTTTTGTTTCTAAAACTACTCTATTAAGAACAGAATTAAAATAGCCGAAAAATAGCGGTAGCTTTGTTTTTCTTTTTCTACGAAGAAAATATTTTCCTATTAGGTACTTGAATGATTACATCGCTTAGAATGAAAATTAATTATCCTTAGATAACTCTTTTCATTTTTGAACTTGATTGACTGTTGTAAAATTAAATTCAACTTTGAGTGAATTTGATTTGTGCGCAACCTTAAATATCTTCCATGAAACGAAAGTGACAATAGTCAATCTTAATATTTCAGAGCTTTAGTCCTACTCTGAGTATATTCTATCTTTTAACCCATGTAAAATAATTTTAAATACGGACTTGTCGCTGTTCATACTTGTACTATGTAACAAAATGAGAACATATAACAAATAACTCGTTTATGTTACAACTTCTACAAATATTAAACTGACAAGGTTCTACCATCTAAAAATGATGATACGGTGACCGACAGAATATATTATGCCATTTTACACAATCTTGATCAAAAACAAATTGAATTGAATCAAATAAATCAAATACTTCTAAAAATAATATAAATGACAATTCCGAGGACGTGCAAATAAGAATAAAAAAACAGACATTCATTTAAAATAATTTACTAGTCTCTGAATGACATAAAACTTAGATTTTTTTAATTAGCTCAAAGAACTACGTGGTTTCATTAAATGTCGGACTTAAATAGCGCTGTTAGAACTTCTAATAATTGAAATCAGCATTATAGATTAATTAACCTTGGCATGGCGTGAAATGCGAAAACAAAACGACTGCGTACCTTTTAATTTCCTCATCAACATTGCTTAAGATGCCGTGAAATTAATTGGGGACCGAATTGTTAGCACTCTTAATGACGTAGAATCTCTACTAACTTAAGAAAAATTTAATTTGCCAACTTGAATTTGTTTTAGTTTCACAACTAAGTACTA